CCCTGCATTCTCACATAGTAGAAGAGACCTATTATTTTTTAAGTAAAATACATACCTACTAAAATATATATATGCACTATATATACATACATATACATACATACACACACACACACACACATATATATATATATATATATATATATATATATATATATATAATTTGAAAATGATACACCTGTGTAACCCACACCCCTATCATCTCTTTTGGAGCACACTTAAAATAGGTAGATTGGTAGATAAGGAAATAGTTTATACATTTTCACTTCATGAAGCATTGCTGTGAATATTCCTCTTTTTGAGATTTCTTCCCTTTAGCCTTTCCTCCCCCTATTTCTACCCTGCAAAATCAACCTTTCCTCTCACCTTGTTTCTGATACTGTTTGCCTCCGCACATTGGCTCCACATTTCTGTCTAGCAATTTAGATTTGAGGATCCAAATGATACTTCCAGTAATTTCTTTATTGGGTCCATTCATTTAAGATCAGAAGCCTGCTCCAACCCCTTCCCAGAACCCAGCAGCCTAGCTCACTCTTGACTGCTTTGCCTGATAAGAGAAAGAAATGGATCAGATAAGTTTTCTTGGCCCAACCCAGGCACCATTGAGAAACTGAGAAGGGTTGTAGGAGAAGGAGAAATAAAATATAGTCTACCCTGATCACTCAAAATGAAGTGGAGAGAATTAAGAGAAATGCCTTAAGCCACTCCTCATAAAAATAAAAATAAAAATAAAAAATAAAAAAAATAAAAAGTAGGACATGTGGGCAGAGTGTCATGATAATTGTTCTTGCTATAAGTATCTTCCCCCCAAGGCAGTGTATTTTAGGCACATACATACTTTTTTTTTTCTTAAATATTGTATTCCAGAACAAAAACATACATGCACAAATGGAAAAGTTTTCTGAAACAATGTGTAAGACTACGAGGTTAAATACATCCCCATATTTTTACTTTATATTTCTCTAGCTTGAAAAAAAAAAAAAAAAAAAAAAAGCCAGTCACCATCTACTGAATGTTTTGCAACTCACTGGTTGACTGCAGCCTGCAATCTGAAAACCACTGCCCTAAGGGCATTGCCTAAAATGTTGGTTTCTTGGCTTCATCATTTTCTTCACTGAATACCAGTTTCATTCTTCACGTGATATTCTTCACAATATCATGGGCACCAACTTAACAATCAGCTGTTACTGCTATCAAATGTCCAACCTGCTATTAACAGAGACTAATGCTGGGCACCCAAGATGGCACCATTCTTTGAGGAACCCTTACTGACCACCTGATGGCAACTTGGCTACATTGGGCCACTTCTATTTTGAAAGGGCCAGTGATTGATGCTCACACTAGGCGTTTATTGCTAGTATGGGTTTGTCTTTTTTACTTGCAGGACATCAGCCAGTATTCCTTGCAGTGTATCTCCTCTGTTGACATGGGATCCCACATCAGATTGTGTCAATTCAGGTAACCCATATCACTTGAAGTTTAGGAATGGGCTCATGAACATCAGCTCTTCCACTAGATAGTATTAAGTAAGGTAAAATATTTAAACATGTAAATCGGTATTCATTGTCTTGCAATAATGGCTTAATAGAAGTTAGTCGAGTTACCCAATTCTTCCTCACTACTTTCTTTCAATAATAGGAATAATCTCACTTAATAATAAATAACAGATATTGTTTGGAGGAGGTGGGAAATTACCATTATTACGTGATTCTGCTCTCAAAATGTGTGAGCTGAGAGCCCTGGGAGATCTGTGTGACCTGGGAAGGTGAAGAAGGACTCCTTAAGAGACATGGGAACTTAGCTGACCTCATAAAAACACCAACAGAGAGAAAAGTGGACAGAGGGCACCAGAGATGTCCTCGCTCCTAGTCTAGCATGTAGTCCTAGTTCAGGTAAACAAAATTTGGAGGGGCAAAAAACAAAAAATTAAGCTTGCACAACCCTGCAATTGTTTTGTTTTAACTGGTAATGTATACAGTGGATTTTCAAATATGAAGTGCTATTATAACCAAGAGAAGAAGGAAAAAAAGGAGGATAAGGACAACAATGTTTAGCTATGTGTTAACCTCAGATCAATATATAAAACCTTTGGAATTATGATATAACCAGTACTGCTAGATTTATGGCCATGTGTATAGTTCTCATTTCAAGTTCGTACTTTCTATTTATCATCTTTATATTCAGATGGCACCTCTATTTTCAATGTCTTACCAATTTCTCCCTCTCCTAGTAAACCTTTCTGGTGAAATTTCATATGCTTCATATCAGCTCAGAAGCAAATTCTTTTCTGGAAGGTTGAACCTATCTGTTCAGTCATTTCTGAGTTACCCAAGCTTTAGCTAGTGTTATTACGGAAATTTGTCAAGATCCACTTTTTGTGTGTTCAGATTTAATCCAAGATGGTTTCAATTTAAATCTCTGGAGCGATCATGCACATATTCTCTCAGGAGAAAAGCATTCTTTGCTTTGAGATATAACTGGTTTAGGTTTACATTCCACTTTGTGTGTATACGGAGTGTGGTTATGAAGAGATCTACTCAAATCCTGGACAATCCTTTGGGTTTCCAGATCCTCTATTCATGTTGTATGTAGAAAAAATGCTTCCCTCCACCCCCTAACCCCAAGATTTGAGGGATGACAATACCTGTCTGGCTGTTTCTCAGACAATAAGTTTTACTCTATGAAAAATTAGAAAAATAAAGGTTTAAAATATTTATTTATTTATTTTTAGGAACTTGGTCACTGGTCCTTCCATTATAGACAAGAATATTTGTGGTGCTAGTAGCATCTATTAAGCAAATATAGGTTAGACCAACATAGTTTTTCTAAGATGACATCCTATATGTGTCCTGAAATACTGAGAATTTACAGAATGGAAAAAACAAACAAACAAAAAACCTAAAGTAGGAATGGGTGGATGGGATGGAGAGAGACAATAGTGCAGGGAAACTTTTTTAATGACTGGGCAGAGGGCCCCAAGACATATGGGCATGTTCCAGTTACCTATTTTGCATGTCAAAACACCTCAAAACTTAGTGACTTAAAACAGCAATAATCCTTTCATTATTATACTAGAGGCCTGGTGCATGAAATTCGTGCACTCGGGATGGTTGGGGGAAGTCCCTCAGGATGGCTTTCACCCTCTCGCAGTTCTGGAGCCCTCAGGGGATGTCTGACTGATGGCTTAGGCCTGGATATCTGGCCGTGGGACATCCTTAGCTCTGCCACAGAGGCAGGTGAGGCTTTCACCACTACCACTGCACTCCCCAGCTGTGAGCCAAGCTTCTGGCTGAGTGGCACTCCCCCTGTAGGAGCGCACTGACCATCAGTGGGCAGCTCCTGCATTGAGCATCTGCCTGCTGGTGGTCAGTGCACATCATAGCAACTGGTCGTTCTGCACTTTGGTCGATTTGCATATTAGCCTTTTATTATATAGGATCTTTGGGGGTTGGCTGGGCTCAGCTGGACAATTTTTGCTCAGGGTCTTTCAGGCAGTTGCAGCACCAGGTCTACCAGCCTCTTAAGACTCACTCACTTATCTAGCTCTTGGGCTGGGAAGACTCAAACAGCTGAGGCTCCCTGGGCATTTCTTTCTGTCTATACGCCTGGTCTCTCCAGCAAAGCAGCATCAAGGTGGGTGAACTTCTTTCAAGGCAGTTCTGGACTTCAGAGGCCTGTGTCCCTGGTGAAAAGCCAGGTGGAATCTACACTGTGTTTTCTAACCTGGCCTCACAAGTCAGCACAGTCACCAAGGCCTGCCCAGTTTCCAGGGGAGGCGACAGGCCCCACCTGGTGATGAGAGGTGCACTAAAGAATCTGCAGATGTGTTTTCAAACCAGCACAGGATTTCACAGACCTCTGGCAGAAAGTCTGGGACAAAATAATGAGTCATTCACAAAACCACAAATTGGTTCATTGTGGGTTCCTTTCTGCAGAGGTGGAAGGGTACTGTCTAAAAACTGTCTACCTGGGCTTGCCTCTCTCTTGACACTTCCTGAGTCTGGGGCCATAAGCAAATCCCAGTGCCCCTTTTCTTATCCATAAATTGGGATAATGAGAGTTAACATTTATTGAGCATTTAGTAGATGCCAGGTATTGTCCCAAGTGCATTGTATACTATCTTATTTTATAACCAAGGCAACTCTACTTCCTAAGACATAAAGTTGGTAATAACAAAGCTGTCTCTCAGGTCTGTTGTGTGGATCAAATGGGACTACTTATTACGGTCGCTAAAGCTGCTGGGGCAAATTCTGCTGACACCAGGTCAGGAGAGCGAGGCGATTCTAGAAATCCGCTAGCCGTGTGCCCAATGCAGCACAGGTTTTTCCCACTAGAGGTGGAAGACCAGTTTGGGGCAAGAGGGGTCAGATTTTTTTTTTTTTTTTGACAGTTGTTTAAAACGCATAAAAAAAGACCAACCAGTCCAAGTCTCATTTAAAACTAGGGGTGCAGTCTCCTGCGCAGTTTGCAGAGTGGGGACCAGGAGCACAGCTTTGAGTTTGGAAAATAATAATAATAATAATAATAATAATAATAAGGTAATGTTTATTTTGTTCCTGAAAAAGGGAATGCATGACTACAGGCTGTAGGAAGCATTCTGCGGGGAGAACACCGGCCTTCTGCCCTCATCGCCGCCTCCAAGTGTCCAGCCCCCCCCCCCCGCCCCCGCTTCGCGGCCGGATGCACGGAGCTGACACCTTCCCAAAGGCGCCCCTCCCGTGTGTCCTCTCCCCTCGCGTCCCCGTCGCCACCCGGGGCTCCCAGACCGGGGAACCCCTTCCTCTTCTTCCCCCTCCCTCTCCCCTCAGGTGCCTGCTCCCACGATCGCAGCACGAACGCCCATCCTCCCAGCCCCGGCAAAACCCGGAGCAGCGGACTCCGCGCCCGGAGCGCCCGCCCGCCCGCCCGCCCGGCGGCCACTGGGCATGCTCCGTGGCCAGGCAGGGTCCCGGCGGCGGCGGCGGCCGACGGCGGAGCCTCGCGGATCCTCCGGCGGCGGCGGCGCGTCCTCCTGGCGAGCGGGCGCGGGCGCATGATGGCGGCGGCGGCGGGGAGCGCCAGCGGCGGCGGCAGTAGCAGCGGCGGCGGCAGCAGCAGCAGCAGCGACACGTCCAGCACCGGCGAGGAGGAGCGGATGCGGCGCCTCTTCCAGACGTGCGACGGCGACGGGGACGGCTACATCAGCAGGTACCTCGGAGCGGTGCGCGCCCGCGGCGGGCGGCGGGGCCAGAGCAGCCCCTTGGCGCTGCCCTCTCGCGCCCCAACTTGCAGCAAGTTGCGCCGAAGCTCCCGGGAAAAGTTGGCTGCGACCTCGGGAGCGCGTCGCCCTGCCCGGGCGCGGAGGCCGAGGGGCCGTGGGACTCGCCTTCTGGAGGAGCAGCCAGTGGGTCCAACTTTTCCCAGCTCCGGCTTTGTCTGGGCGCGGGGAGGCAGCTCCGTGGGGTGCGAGTCTGCCCCTGAGTCTCGGAGACCCTGTGCCTGGAGGGTGTGGGGTGGGATGGGGGTGGGGGGTGGAGGTGAGGGGTCGGGGCGCCTGTCCCAGGTCAGAGGGGCGCATCTGCAGCCTCGGGCAGGAGCCTGGGCGTCACGATGCTGTGGCACCGGCAGCGACCTGTCCGGCTGTGGGTGGACAGCCTCCCCAGGGGCGCACGGACCAGCAGGGGGATGCGCTCTCGGGGACAGAGTGGCACAGGAAAGCAGGCTGTGGAGAACTTTCAGGATCTCTACGTTCCAAACTTGGGAACCCAGAGTTTGCCACCTGTACTGATGAAACCTATTAGTGAGAGGGGAACGAAGCACTCAGGCGCAAACTGGAGAATGTAAGAGACGAGTCTGAAGTCTAGACCTGACTCCCCACCCGCCGCCGCGCGCTGGCCAGGTGAGCGCCCGGAGGGGTCCGGGGCTCGCCTCACCACCGCGCACAACCCTGCCCTGTTTGCCTCCAGATCCCCTACGGGGGCGGGGCCGCCGCTTCTAGCCGCAGGGCTTGGCAAATAATTGCTTCGGTCCAGATTGCATCACTTGTCGGGCACTGATAGTAAAGGGGGCGATCGTAATGTGTCACCGAACGCTTCTATGAAAGGTTGTAACAGCGGGCTGAAGACCTTACCAGCCGGAATTTGAATTGCCTTCCAGGAAGTAGGCGGCCTAAGTTGTGAATTACACCTGTATATTACACTTTCGTGTATTACACCGGTGTCTTGGTGGTGCTAAAGAGCTCTGAACATTCCAGGCTGCCTCGTGCTGATTGTCCTTGTCTACGTAAAGAAAAAGAATGGGGAATTAAAAAAAAAAATCTAAAGATATCTGAAACAGGTAATTTGACATGTAAGAATTTAACACTTAAAAAAAAAACCACAATAATTTACTTTGAACTTTTGATTGGATTATGTTCATTTTAGCTGGATTTTATTATTTTTCTAAAGCTTCACTGGGAAACATTAAAAAGATATCAGAAAACTTTATGGAAGTGATTCTGTTCTGAAATGAAAAAATATATGTAACTCTAGTTTGACCCCACATAGATTTTTATCTGGAAGTCTGTTCCTGTTTTGGTTCTGGGATAAGAATAATAATAATAAAGGTTATATAATTTAGATTTGTCATGGTAGTGTTCTTACTTGAAAGATCATTATTATTTCACTTTCAATAATAAAAACAATCTACATTTTTCATGTTAGGAAGCAAAAAGAATATAATTCACATAAGCAAGAGTGCATATAGAAAACTAGTAGAATTTTCTCCTCCTAATCTAGCATGTTAATATGTTGCTTTATCTAATCCAGACTTCCTATACAAATGCATATACTATTATTTTGAATGGTGGCTGCATCTACCCTGAAGGATAAGTAATTCTGTGAGCATGATTTGAGGGCTTTGTGTTGGAGGAGAAGGCATTGTGTGTAAGGTGCTGGTGGTAAAGGGGATTTGGAGTAGAAACCTGCTGGAGCAAAAGTGTGTGTGTGGGGGGACACACTGTGTCATTGCTTGAAGCACAGAACTTTAATATATCCACTTCGAAGGTGAAAGGTTTACTAGTACGCCCTGAACTGTAGGTAATGAACCTTGAATTTTAACTGTGGGCAGAGTTGCCCTGGCAGTTGTGTGCTGTGACAGGACTCCCATATAGGAGGATTTCAAGGATATAATTTCATTGAAAGGGAGCACCAAGGAACTTCTCTAGAAGTATGTTTACACAGCAAGTACAGTTTTTCCTGGGATATATGTTTATTTGGCACTAGAGGCCCAGTGCACGAGGTTTGTGCACTGGGGGGGGGCGGGCGGGGTCCCTCAGCCCAGCCTGTGCCCTCTCACCATCGGGGACCCCTTGGGGGATGTGTGACTGCTAGCATAGCCCACTCCCTGGCAGTTGGATATTCCTGAGGACTCCTTAGCTCCTCTGTGGATGCCGCTGGGCTCACCAGCCATGAGCCTGGCTTCTGGCTGAGCAGTGCTCCCCCTGTGGGAGCTCAGTGACCACCAGGGGGCAGCTCCTGTATTGAGCGTCTGCCCCCTGGTGATCAGAGCACGTCATAGCGACCGGTTGTTCTGCTGTTCGGTTGATTTGCATATTAGCCTTTTATTATATAGGATGGCTTGGGGAATGGAGCAAGCGAAGATAAGTGGCATTAAACGACTCCCTCTGCAAAGCTGTATATTTGTGCTGACCGTGTTTAATGACCTTTACTGGCCACTTTAGTGTAGGTGTAAAGGAATGCTATGAATATTCTCTTTTATTAAATGAGAGTTGCACTTTCTACACGAAAACCTTAAAACCCTCAGGTTCCTCAAAAGATGTCAATCTTTACACTCATGGTATACAGCTGTATTGGTTAGGTTTTTAGTTGGTTATATATAATAGAAGCCTAAGCACAATAAAAAATAAAAAATAAAGAGTTGGATTTCTCATCTAGAAATCTGGAGGAGATCCATCCAGGCTGGGACAGTTGTTTCCCTATGGTGTCAATGCCCAGCTTCCGTCTATCTTAACACATCGCCAATCTTCACATCCATCCTCATGGTTATCTCATGTTCTTCAAATGATTGCTCTATTTCCGCTCCCATCTCCAAATTCTAGGGAGGAAGGTATAAAAGGAAGCTGAAATGAGAGTTGCCTATATCATTAAAACAGAGCTTTCTCAAGTCCCTTAATTGACATCTTATTGGTCAAACAACATTACCTTACCATGCCTTTTTCCAATAGAGTTCAAAGAAGCATGTAATTCAGTTGGTCATGTTGCTTCCTAAACAAAATCAGAGTTCTGTTACTAAGAGCAGGGAATGATATTGGGTAAGCAAGGATCAACCATAACATATACTGTAATAAATAATCCACATTCACCTGTGTTCTTTCTCTGGTTCTTTGCCTGGTCCTCATTCTCAAGCAGGAGTGGGCTAGAGATCTTAAGTTTGGAGAAAGGATAAGTGAAAGATAGACTGAGTCCTGGAGGGGAAATGTCAACAACAGAATGCCATCTCAGGAAGAGGCACGTCAAAGGCAGGGATTTGAATCAATATTCTCTTGGCCTAACCTTCCCCATCAGGCTGACAAAAAAGGCATCTGCTAACTGGATATTCCGGGAATAGCTGCTTCTGCCAAAGTACTCCCAGCCTGCCAGAGGGACCTGGAATCATCCTCCAGGATGTTTAACCTGGAGCAGATACCAGCAGCCTGAGCAGGGCAGGAGCTGGCTGTGCAGTGGGACTGCAGCAGGCTCTTCTGTGCATTTCATTAGCTGTACAGGGATGTAACTTCATGTTTTATGGCATTGAATTTTTGGACCCTATTTATTTATTTATTTATTTTAAAAATATATTTTTATTGATTTCAGAGATGAAGGGAGAGGGATAGAGAGATAAAAGCATCAATGATGAGAGAATCATCGATTAGCTGCCTCCTGCACGGGGATTGAGCCCACAACCCAGGCATGTGCTCTTGGCTGGAACTGAACCTGGGACCCTTTTCAGTCCGCAGGCCAACGCTCTATCCACTGAGCCGAACTGGTTTTGACATAATGCCACTTTTTCAAAATAGACTTGCCCAGGCTGTGGTATTTTATGGAAGTGTCACATTCAAGGGGCCAAAGAGCCGCACGTGGCTCGAGGGCCACGGTTCGCGGACCACTGCTGTAGTACATTAGAAATGTTTGGACAAAAAGAAAGCCATCTTCTGTTTATGTTGTATAGGAAGACTTAATATTGTTTTGATGGCAATACTCTCAAAAATTGTTCTACAGATTCAACACAGCTTTTCTCAAAATCCCAGCTGCTATTTTTTTGTAGAAACTCACAATCTGATCCTAAAATTCATATGGAAATCGAAGAGACCCAAAATTGTCAAAACAATCTTGAAAATATTTGAAGAATGAAGTTGGAGGATTCACACTTCCCAATTTCAAAACTTACTACAAAGCAATAGTAATTAAGACAGTGTAGCCCTGGCAAAGATAGGTGCATAGATCCATGAATAGATCTGAGAGTCCAGAAACAAACCCATGAGTCAATTTTTAACAGAGCAAGACAAGAGTGTCAGAATCAAGGGTGAAATGAGGAAAGAATAGACAATTTGACAAATGATACTGGGACAAATGGATAGACACATATAAAAGAATGAAGTTGAACACATTCCTCACATAGAAAAATGTATATTCCTCACATTCTTCCTATATAAAAATTAACTCAAAAGTGGATAAAAAATGTAGATGGAAGAGCTAAAATCTTTGTCACTTTAGATTTGGCAGAGGATTCTTATATATGACATCAAAACAGAGGCTATAAAAGAAAAAATAGGTAAATTGGATCTCATTAAAAAATTTTTTAAATTTATGCTTTAAAAAATTATCTAAATAGTAAAAGAATGGGAGAAAATATTTGCAAATTATATATTTGATAAGAAACTTGTACCTAGATTGTATAAGTCAATAGAAAGATAAGTAACCAAATTAATTTTTTTTTATATAACTCAAGAGCAACTTTATTTTACTCTTCTGTTGCCTCTTTAAAAATGTGCTGGGCAGGCGATTTATTCATGTAGGCCCAAAACTTGCCCAATTGGAAAAAATAAACACCTTTTGTCATTCTCATTTGGTAGCTCCATGGTCTTCGGAGCTGTGCTGCAGGGAAAACCCACCTAGCAGTCCTCTGGCTAGTTGTTGTTTTCTAGTCTCTGGGCTCAGAAGCAAAAAAGA